CAAAAAAAAAAAAAAACAAAAAAAAAACACACATTCAATACTCTTAAGGGTCAGTAGAGTACATTAAAATATCTTTGTGGCATAACACCTCAAAAGGAAACTCTTAACAGATACCAATTTGAATGTTAATTGCTGATGCCATCATACTTATTTAGTTTCAAGTATTTGTACTTATCTCGTCAAACAGATTTGTGTTACAGCATATGTACTTAGATCTCAATACAGTTTCTAAGTGTTGGAAGGTGATACCTCCTTTTACAAATTCTGTTACTAAGAGACATATTATGATTTTAAATGAAGCAGCCCTGATGTAAAGAAAGGCTTTTTCCTGTTGTAATATGATGGGTTACAAAATACAGAACACCATAAATAATCCACTGTCAGAGTCCTCTAATAGACAAAATCAAGAAGGAATAAAGAAGGGTGTGAAATAGAGACCCCATCCCAAGACTGGGAGAGAGCCAAGAGGGAAATTAAAATTGCATGGAGCCAGATACAGTGGCTCACACCTATAATCCCAGCACTTTGGAGGCCAAGACAAAAAGATTGCCTGAGCCCCGGGGTTCGAGAGCAGCCTGGGCAACTTGGCGAGACCTTGTCTCTACAGTTAATCACAAAATTAGCCGGGCTTTGTGGCGCACGCCTGCAATTCCAGCTACTTGGAAGGCTGAGGTAGAAAGATCGCCTAAACCCAGGTCAAGGCTGTGGTGACTGTGAGCATGCCACTGCACTTCAGCCTGGGTAACAGAGTGAGACACCGACTCAAATAAATAAATAAATAAATAAATAAATAAATAAATAAATAAATAAATCTGCATGGAAAAATACTACTTGCAGTGGGTTGAATGGTAGCCCTCTAAAAGATACGCTTTTGTTTTCTTTTAATACTTATAACCAGTAAATGTTTTCTACTCAGAAATCTTATAAAATCATAACAGAATAGGAAACACAAATAACATATAAAGAGAAGCTTAACATTTTTAACAACAAGGGAGACACAAAATAAAACACAATGACATACCATTTTACACACACTGGATAGGAAAAAATAATGTTTAATATTGAGTACTGACAAGAATATGAGGTAAAAACTAAAAACAAAACAAAACATTGCTGAGGAGACAGGGACCACTGGCCTTGTTAGGTCACATGTTCTTTTCTGGATTAATCATCCCCAACTTCTGTTGTAACCATATGAACATTTAGAGGAGAAGAAACAAAGCCTCAAAGGTGCAAAGACTTCCGGGAGGCCTATTTTATCACCATTATCATTTAAAAGATGTGGCTGCTTGTATGTAAAAGATATGTTTATATCTGAATACTGGGAGCTGTGAATGTTGCTGTCTTGGTACAAATAAAAGGAATCTAGAAGAAAGAGATCACCTTTGATTATTCAGGTAGATTCAAAATCCAACCACAAGTATCCTTAAAAGAGACACTCAGAGAAGACAGGGTATCAGGAGCCAAATTGACCACAGACGCAGAAACTAAAATTATGTAGCCACAAGTCAGGGAATGCTGACAACTACCAGAAGCTGGAAGAGGCAAGAATGGATTCTCCCCTACAGCCCTGCTGACATCTTGATTCCGGCCTTCTGTTCTCCAGAACTGAGAAAATAAATTTCCATTATTTTTAAGCCACCCAGTTTGTGAGAATTTCTTACAGCAGCCCCAGGAAATAAAGCACACTACTACAGAACTGAAAGAGAATAATCTAAAGAAAGAAAAACAAACATGGCAATGGCTGGGCCAGAGTCCAGCTTCGGCAAATATCTCTTAATAGATGAATAGAGCCGGGCTCGGTGGCTCAGCCTGTCATCCCGCGCCTTTGGGAGGCCGAGGTGAGTGGAGTGCCTGAGCCCGCGGGTTCGAGACCCGCCTGGGCAGCGAGACCTCATCTCTACAATAAATCAAAAAATCAGCTGGGCACGGTAGCGCGCGCCTGTAATTCCAGCTACTCTTGGAAGGCGGAGGCAGAAGGATCGCCAGAGCCCAGCAGGCTGAGGCTGCGGTGGCCGGGAGCGGCCACTGCACTCCAGTCTGGGCGACAGAGTGAGACTCCGACTCAAAAAAAAATAAAAAAATAGATGAACAGATGACTAGTTAAATGAGTGTTTAGGCCGGGCTCAGTGGCTCAGCCTGCAAACCCAGCATTTTGGGAGGCCGAGGCCAGTGGACTACCTAAGCCGTGGGTTCAAGACCTGCCCAGGCAACTTGGTGAGACCTCATCTCTACAATAAATCAAAAATTAGCCAGGCGTGGTAGTGTATACCTATAGTTCCAACTAGCTGGGGCGGAGGGATTGCCAGAGCAGGTCAACACTGGGGTGGCCGCGAGCGTGCCACTGCACTCCAGCCTGGGCAACGGAGTGAGAATCCAACTCAAAAAATAAAAATAAAAATAAATAAGTATTTAATACTGAATATTCAGTAAATTTTATTTACTAACTTGCAATCAGAGCAAAAAAGAATATTAATATCTTATAGATGTGATGACAAACCATTTCACAGGAAGGCAAAAAAAAAAAAGAAAACAGAAACAAAAAATAAAATGGCAGACTTCAGCCCTACAATATCAGCAATTACATTAAAAACAAATGGTATAAGTGCATCAATTAAAGGCAGGGACTGGCACAATGGATGAAGAAACATGACTCAAATAAACACAGTGTATAAGAAACTCACTTCAAATATAAAAATATCAGCAGACTGAAAGTAAAGGACAGAAAACGATGTATCACAGAAATGTGAATCAAAAGAAAGTAGGAGTTGCTACATGAATATCAGATAAAGTAAACCTCAGAGGAAAAAACAATCACCAGCGATAGATAGACAGAAACATTATATAATAATAAAAAAGACACACAGCAACCCTAAAAGTGTATATACCAAACAGGGCTGCAAAATATGGGAAGTAAAAGCTGATGAAACTCAGAGAAGAAATGAATCAGTGCACAGACACGGGTGAAGAGTTCAACATCTATCCCTTGCTCAACAACTGACAGAACAACGTCACAAAAAATCTTCAAGGATATATAAGAACTCAAGAATACCATCAACCAGAAACTAACAGACACTTAGAGAACATTCTATCTAGCTACAGCAGAATACATGTTTCCAATCAAGTGCCCAAAGAACATATATCAAGACAGACCACGTCCTGGACCATAAACAAAACCTCAACAAACAAATCTTACAAAATTGTTAAATCTGAAATCATACAGAGTTTTCTATGACCACAAGGGAATCAAACTAAAAATCAATAAAAGAAATATACCAAAAAAACTCCACTCTCTTGGAAACTAAACACACTTCTGTGGACTTCATGAGTCAAAGAGAAATCAAGGAAGTCAAACAATACACTGCACTGAATGAAAATGGAAATACCAACATTTGTGAGACACAAGTAAATATATGCAGAGAAGAAAATAGATAGCACTGAATGCAAACATCAGAAAAGAGGCAACCTCTCAAGTCAGTGATCTCTCTGTTTTGAGAACCTAGAACAAAATAATCACAACAATCGTAAGAGAAGATAAAAGCAGAATAATGAAAATAGAAACAGAAAATAGTAGAGAAAAAAACCAATGACCTCTAGCAAGAGTAACAAAGAAAAAAAACAAGAAAACACACAAATTGCCAACATCTGGATTTAAGCAGTAGCTACCAGGACAGACTGTGCAAACATCAAAAGGATAATAAACAAATGCTATAAATAATTCTACACATATGAATTTTTTTTTTTTTGAGTTGGAGTCTCACTCTGTCACCCAGACTGGAGTGCAGTGGCTGCTCCCGGCCACCACAGCCTCGACCCGCTG